TTGAGAAATCTAGATCCTGGTCATATGTGGTTAAGGCTTTGTAGGTTTTAGGGGGTTTTAATCTTATCAAATAGAAGTTCCATTGAGCTGAAGTCAGCTTGTTTTTTCCAAATAAAAGATATACCAATAACAGTGTATTTTCGAAATCCAGCACAGTTCCTAGAACACGGTAGGTGCTCAATCAATTTGATAAGTGAAAAAAGTCCTACCAAGCGATGTTAGTGAGCCTCGTAGAAAAGCTCCTTAGTTGCATGTGCACAAGGTAGTGTACATGAGAGATCTGGTTCTTCCCCCTCCCTCTTTCAATTGAAGATAAATAGGACCTGTTAGATTGGTGTTTTACAACCCTGCCCACCTGGGCAAGGTAACCCTTCTTTCAACACCATGTCCCCCATCTCTGCTAAGCTTCTCTACTCCTTTCCTTTTATTCCAAACAAAAAAGGTCAGCTCTCAGTCACCTTACCCCCAGCTACCCCTTTTGGTTCCTTTATGCCTTATTGTTGGTGCTCTCTGTCTACTTGACGTACTCAGTATCTTGTTTTCTAATTTTCTTCTTCCATCTAAACAGAAGGATTTGACGTGTACATGGTAAAATTATTATATATATATCTATATATATGTCTATATAGATATATATATATATAACTTATCATTTTAACCACTTTTCAATGGTGTTATAAACAGGGAAGGATTTGCTCTCAGGCCCCTGATCCAAGTGGAATGAAGACTCCATGGCTCTGCAGTAGTTGTGGGAGGCTTGTTCCCACAGTACAGCCTGATGCCTGGCTCTCAAGTCGTTTCCTTTGTGTACATCGTCCTTTTCTGGGTCTCTTATTCTTGTATCAGTGGGCTCCCTCCTGTTTTTCTTGTGAATTCCTGCATCTCCATTTCTTATCTCTCATATTGAGCCTAATATTAGAACTAAAGCATATTTTTTAGTATATTTTGTATTAATGTTCTCTGTTCTTAATTTTAAAAACAAATTGAGCATTTCATAATTCTTTTTCATATGTGGTTTTTCAGTATTTGGGAGTCAGAGACTCGAGATCTAACAAAAAATTTTTAACTCCTATTTTTATTGTAATAGTAAAAATTACATTTAGATAGTGTAGTTAGGAACTAGTTTATTATTTTCAGTAAATAAAGGAAAGCAGGGATTGTTACTGCAAGATTTTGCCTTTAAAATTTTTTTTCATTTTTACTTAATTACATTAGTTTTCTGTATTGCTCAAACAATACATGTTTATGGCAGTAAATAAAATTAGAAAATCTAGATAAGCCAAAAGGAAAAACAGTATAATCACTTTTATTCTATCATCCAAAGATAACCACTGTGAATATTTGTCAGTATCTTTCCAGACCTTTATAGATGTAATTTTTAAACAAAAATGGAATCAACTTGTATATGCTATTTTAGGACCTACCTTCATTTAATAGTTTATTTTTGATATCTTTTCCATATCAGATATGTATATCTACAACTACATATATTTATAACTAGCATTATAGTGGTTTCAGAGGCTTTTAATATTAAATCAAATGACAAGATTTTTAGTATGGGGCGATAACATTATACCACTCGTTAATACAAAATTTATTTAATAGTAAAAGCTTTCAAATTGCCAAATTAATAAATCCTTATAAAGCCGTAAAGAATATTGTATGTTTATAATCATGTTAGGGGTTTTATAAAAAACTTTTTATTGGACATAATTTTAAAACCTTGCAAAAATAAAAGAATACCCATATATCTTTTACCCAGATCGCCTATTGTTAGTTAACATTGCACATTTGTATTGTTTGCCCATATATGTATGTATGTATGTATGTGTGTGTATTTTTTTTAATGAATGGTTTGAAGGTAAGTTGTATACACTATGATTCTTTACCCCTAAATACTTCAGTATGTATTTCTTAATAATAGGATGTTCTGTTACATAACCCCAGTATAGTTATCAACTTTATAAATCTAACATCGGTGTAATATTTTATCCAATCTATTACCTATGTTCCAGTTTTTCAGTGGATCTAAAACATGTTATAACATGTTTTCCCCTCCAATACAGATTCTAATTGAGAGTCAGATGCTGTATTTGTCGTGTGTTGTTAGCTTCCTTTAATCTAGAATATTTCCATAGCTTTTCTTTGTCTTTATGACATTGACATTTATGATCTCTTAGTCAAGGTGTTATCTAATTTCTCCACTCTTCTGTTTCTTCCCCTCCCTTGTAAATAATAAGCAGTCTATAGGGAGACACTTTAAGACCATGCAAATATCCCATTCTTTATCAACATTTCTCCCTGGATTTAATATCCATTGATGTGTTTCTTTCTAGATTTCATCTTTACCATGATGGTTGCAAAATGATTGTTTTCCAAATTCAGCCCTCCAGTCATCCTTCAATATTCTATAAGCAAGAGACCTTCCATTTATTTTTTGTTTATCTGTTTCCCAGTGATTTATAATTCATTACTGAATTTTAGTTATTTTTGTGCCCACACTGTCCTCTCCCTACTTCCTGCCAAAGACTGAATACATTCAAACATCATGTTCATAAAATACTTGGATGACTTCTCCCGAAAGTCAAAAAACTATATTAAGATGTCGCTCTCTTCCGCGTACCCTCCCCACACTCTCACGTAGCCCAATCTTTGCAGATAAACAAGTTCATTGTTTTCTGGTTAATCCTTCCTATGTTTCTTATTGTAATGATAAGAAGATACAAATTCAGATATATACATACATTCTTATTTTCCCTGCTTTCTTACACTGAAGGTAGCATGCTGTGTATACTGTACATGTTCTTGCTTTTTTTCACTTCACAGTGTCTCCTGGAAATCACTCTAGACCAGTTCATAGAAATCTTCCTTCCTCACTTTTTTTTACAGCTGCATGGCACCTCATTATGTGTAGGGTGTATAGGTATGATAATTATTTAGCCAATCTCCTGTGGTTAAAATATTCAGGTAGTTTCTGCAATAACAAATAACCTTGCATTGAATGTAATGTGTGTATATATTTTAATATTGTCGGAGTTGTATGGTTAAAGGGCAAATGCATGTCATTTGTTGCATACTGCCAAAATCTCTTCTATTGGGGTTGTGCCTTCGGAATGGAACCTTTTTTGTTTTTTTTTTACACATTTCCACCAGAAATATATGAAACTGACTATTTCTCCGTAGAGTGTATTGACAGGCTTTTGAATTTTTGTTACTCTAATGAGTGAAAAATGATATCTCAGCGAATTTTTAATTTGCATTTATCATGTTGTGAATAAAATTAAACATCTTTTAATATGGCTAAGGACCATGTTTCTGTCTTTTTGTGAATTATCTGGTCATGTCTTTTGCCCATTTTTCTGTAGGATATTTGGTCACTTATTTTTCAATTTTTAAAAGTTGTTCATAAATTAGGACAATGTAGTCCGTGATATATATTGTGAATATTTTATTACAGTTTGTCATATGTCTTTTAACTTTGCTCATGGTGATTTTTGTCATGCAAGTTTTTAATTTTTATGTAGTCAAATTTGTCGAATTTATCTGTCTGGGTTTG